TGGCTGAGAACAGACCAACGAAGAGCTGGTCATTAAACAAATATGTAGGAGAAAATGTAGATGGATTGGTCATACTCAGAGGAGACAGTCGGGCGACATCGCGAGCCAGGACATTGCTCGAGTGGAACCTGAATGAGAAATGACGAGTTGGGCATGGGTGGGAGGTTGACATGGAGGAGATCGTGTGGCGAAGAGGAAAGTAGAGATTATGGGCAGAGCTGAAGAGGACGGCAGAGAACAGAACAAAGTGCAGACGTTCTATTGAGGCCACATATTCTACTCGGAACCCATAGGAACAATAACAACAGATTTAGTTACACTGATCTACTAAACGAAGGTGGAATACCCACAGTCAACCGCCTAAAACATGAGCAATGCTTGCATCGCAAATAAATAGACATTTTCTCACAATATTCCCATTACTACCAGTATTATTACCGCTCTTCTTATTATTATTATTCTGTTGACGCTACATTAAATTATTACTTCTTGTTTCTTGAATATATGTTCTCATTTCCTGTTTCACATGAGACTCGATTACCCTTAAGTTCTTCACTTATCAGTGTATTTACGCCCGGTCTTCATATTTGATGCAAATTAGCTCTCTTTCTTTTCCCTCGTATATTCGCTTCCCGGAGAGCAACTTCGACTATTCAGTTCACAATTTAAAGTCTTCAGATTTAGAAGTCAGTGCCGTTATTTCTTAATACAATACAATATTTTGAACAAATCCTTTGTTCTGCGTTACAGATAGTAGCACCTAATTTGAGTGTTTGGTTCACCCAGTTTCAAACACATGAATTAAAATGTACAATTACGAAAAGCTGTGCATGCGAATGTGATGGTTTCTTTGAGGAAGGGTGTTATTGCATTAATATGGAGCCACGGGGAAAAGTTTTCAGTTTCAGACTATAAAGCTAATACTACTTATCGTTTAGAACAAATCTTCTCAGTACAGATATAAAGCCTTCTTTCTTAGTCTTTGTCAAAATTAAGTCAATTGGAACAAATAAGGTATCGGATTGAATGTCGAAGCTTTTGTCCAGAAGTGCACCTCCTACTCCTACACCTACACATAGCTGCGTAACGAGCCTAAGGTATAATGTGGAAATACTTGACCATTGGTCCTTCTTTAGCATTTCACATGCCTGATGGATCCCTCACGTAAGGCATGCAGAGGTTTAGCTCGAACTTTTAGTCTGCACTGAATGAGATGGTTAGCATGTCTTGCATATGCCTCATGCCTCAACATCCTACATCGGCAGAGGTAAGATTTGATTGGGAGACAAACAGAAGTCAGATGAGGACAATTTGAATTTGTAAAACTTTTAAATGTTAGTCTAAATTGTATAGGGCATTTTACTCTACCTGGTTGATATCCATGACAAATGAGATCAGTTATTTGAAGACTGTAGGTTATGTTCTATCAACAACAGTTTTCAGTTCTCTAATTTATCAATTTCTTACCTTGTAATATCAATTTTTCCTTCATCTTCAAGAATTCCCTTTATTTTTATCGATTTTACAACCTGCTACTTAGTTTTTAAATAAGTAGTGCAATTAATTTAAACAATTTTTGGTTGTGCTAGATTCGACAATGTCAATGAATGGTTCTGGCAAATACTACTGTACTGTATCACTGTGTTATTTATGAAATAAATTAATTAAGATCAAATTATACTACACTAAAATGACTTGTTTTTAATCTCATATAAATTACGTCTGTGTTTCTTCGTTTAAATGAAGAAACACAAGAAGAGATATACGTCAAACTAATGTACCTAAAGTTCAATAGAAAATAACAATTCACACAACTTAGTTCTCAAGGATATAAGGACCTCAGAAGGCTGAAAAATAGAGAAGATATGGTCATACTACCAGCTGACAAAAGGAGAACCATGGCACCTATGGAAAAAGAAAGGATACCCTAAGAGAGCCGAAGACCTACTCAAGGATAAAATGTTATACGGACGCCTCCTCACACGATATATCCCATCCAAAGAATTCTAAAGAAACTTGTGGAATCAGCTCAGATCACAAAGGCGAATGAAACCTAACGAACCCATTTTACTTCCTGATTTTATGATAGACCTAAATTACACAACCTAAATATCACCCCCACCCCACGACCAATCGTATCACACTCCACCACTATGAATCTCAACATACAAGAAAAAGAAAAGAAAAGCCGTCCAATGTTCACCCAGCTACTCAAAATGTCTTACCTAACCTTGGCTCTTCTTCATGCATATAACATTTCAACTGTTCCTGTGGCTCAAGTTATATAGAGCGCGCGATTAGGCAGATTCGTCTACGGGTTCAAGAACATTTACCAGCATGGTTCAGTAGAGGGGAAATTAAGTGTATAGAAAGCTCAATCCTGTCACACTCGGTCGATACTGGACATCGTATCGATGTCAACACAGCTTTCAGGGTTATATACCGAATTCCGAAGTCGTTATCACGTACAGTTCGCTTATGTCTCTTACACATAGCTGAATCTACCGCAATAAAATCGACTAAACCGGAACTTTGTATCCAAAATAACACGTCCAGACGCTGTTCCTACCGTGGCCAAACTTGGATTAATGACTCTTCTTCTCACCAAGAGTGCTCCTTCCCCTTAATCCTCTTGGTTTTTCTTCCTTTGCTTATTATTACAAATATTATTATTACAATTATTGTTGTTATTATTCGTCATAATTTATGCCCTTCATGCAAACATCCCCTCAATACTATCGAATTTTTCATTTATACTATCCGGACTTATTATTAGTGATATTATCTCTTTTCTCAATATATGCCCCCACCTTTTTCATTTCACATATTCGTTATTTCACTATGAACCTCTCATTGTAGTCTTAGTATCTCCTGTTTAATACAGACTACTTTGTACTAGCCACTCACCGACACCTTTTATAACCTTGAACTGACTTGGCAATTTTACTGCCCCACACTCTACAAATCTATTATGATTAATCACCATTGTCTCCCATTTTACAATATTTTGTAATCGATTTCAGCCTAGCACGTTTGTCACACAAATACGACTATTTATCTTGACACTCCATAGCTAATCTGTGATTCCACGTTAAAAATGTATCCTCCGCATTATTATTTTCTTTAATTCCTAGAGGAACATAGGACTTCAGCCGCGCGTCTCCATTGCCTTCGGTTTTCTGCCGGCGTTTTCACCCTGCTCCAAGTCTGCCCACACGCTTTCATCTCCTCTTCACATGACCTCCTCCAAGTCACCCACGCACTGACGAACAACTCACCGCTTCCCTTTCGGTTCCACTCGAGGGCTTGTCTAGCGATGTCACTTAATGGTTTCCTCAGAGTATGGCCAATCAATCTACCTCCATTTCTTCCTGCCTATTTGTATCCGCCGCATAACTGGCCCTTATTGTAACGACAACAAATATTATGTTTTATAATTGTAAGGACCTGAAGAGAAATTATTGAAAAGAATATTCTTCGTTCAGATTGACTTTTAAGAAAAAGTGTGCCTATCTAGCAAAAAGTAACAATTTTCATGTCTTCTATTGTAAAGGTTTATAGAATATAATATGAACTAGACTGTGAAGTAATGACCACGAAAAAAAAAATAACTTGTCATTAAGGTACTGCGTGTATCGTTTTTATTGTTTCAGTCCGAGTGGAGAGGTTTTATCCTCATTCAATATGTTCACGGTAATCAAATCAGCTACTGTTAATTATGCTTAACACAAGAACCTAATCTTCGACTGATCCTCAGTGAATTTTCGATTATCTTAATTACGAATTCACTCATCCCTGAGAAGGAATAGTACACACATTCTCTCTCAAATATCATGCGGTTATCAAATCGGAGATCATGCAGGAGAAAGTCATTTGGGGGGAACACATTCTGATTCCTACACTCACACACACAGAAAAAGCAGACGAAATTGTGAAAAAAGTTGTTGATACGTTTTATTAGTTTTCTTTTTCTCCTCTTCAGTATAATTTGTTAAACATCATACAAAAATTCACAGTAATAATAATAGTAATAAAAGTAGCAATAACAATACTGGAATGCAAATAGAATATTAAAATGAAGAATAATAATAAGGGTTGAGGAGGAGCAGGAGCAAGAGTAGCAATGCAGAAGTAGTAATAGAAGTAGTATAGGTGATTTTCGGAAAAATTTTAATCAAACTACAATAAAACAATGAGATGATAGGCAGACATGTTTTTGTACAATATGCATATGTACAATAAGTACATTTATTTATGTATAATGCCTTAGTAAGCAGATATGGAGACATCAAAAACAAAAAAAATAGCTGGAATATAATAGTTTAGTAGTAATAGTAGTAGAAATAATAATAATAATTCTGGTAGAAAATCATTTTAACATCTTCTTATGAAAGAATTTGGTACATGAACAGGTGAAGGAAGGGCTACAGAGAGTCTTTTGACTGTTTTTTTTTCTAATTTATTTTCTTTTTTGCTCTGCAAAATACATGGAAGGAAAGGCGACAGGGTATGCTTTCACCGATATTGATATTTACATTGGAATAAAGTGAAGATTAAGGGTGAGTGAGTAGGCGAGTAGGTTAACAGATAAGAAGCCTAGAGCATAGAATATCCTGAAGAGATAATAGAAGGTAATGAGATCGAATGGTGTATTTTTGAATTTTCTTTATTTTTACCCTCCTAGACATCACAAATGATAGAAAATATGCATTTACAATCATAAAGTAAAAGTAATAATAGTAATAGTAATAACAATATGAGCCACATTTTCCTGAGTATACAAAATATCTAGTGTGTAGGCTTTGTCACCGTTGAATACGATACTACTGAGCGGGTCACAGGGTAGTATTCGATAGAAGCACAGTAAACAAAACAAGTGTATGTATAAAACTGAAGTCAAAAACCAAAAAATAAGTAGTAATGATAATAATAATATCAAAAATGCAATTTGTATAAATATGTTTTTTGTTGTTTTTTAACTTGTGAACAGAAATATTCCTCTAAATATATAATATACGCTTTTTCTTTCTATCGTATATCAAAGTGTCCAAAACGCGAGAATCGATAGTACTATTCGAGGTTTTTCGATTGTGTTCAGCATAATTGTTACCTCCATCAACGCCATCAACACGATCCTCATCATCGTTATCTCCAATCTTTCTATAACCAGAGATAACTGAGCGTACTTGACAATTAGACGGTAGACCTGAATCTGTTGAGATTCCTTCACAGACACTGGGAAAACGACTAGATGAATAAGGATTTGATGAGACAGTGTAACTTTCAGTACCACAATTGAGTAAATGAGCATCTGACTGATTTGTATCGATTGAATTTAAAAGGCAAGGATCACCAGGACGTGAACAATTATGACTGGAGTTGAAATAAACACCTGAAGATGAATAAGGCATTGTGTTGTCATTATTATTCACTATCGATGATGTCCTTGTTGTGTATTGAATATCAGATTGTAAATATGAGCACCAAAACGACCAGTGTTCACATTAGCACTACTTCGACAAGCTTCTCTGTCATTAGAAGTAGTCTCATTTTGTGTTGAATGCATAAACGATGATGGATTTTGCCAGACAGACTGAGAAAAGAATTCTGGAGTTGGTAGATTAATTTTCACTTCCATTGAATCAGTTGGTTTTAAAGAGTCTTGTAAAACACCAGGTATATTAAATCCCATATGACCAGCACGAAAGCCTTCAACAAATATACCAGGGAATTCAACTTGTTGCCTGCTTGTAATAGGTTTCGGTTTTTCTCTGCGTAAACGACCCAACGGAGGACTATTCGATCTACTATGATCAGATGATTATCATCGTGAAAATTCATCTGATCAAACATTTCATCCAGTTTAAATATCATCTGATTGTTATCATAATTAGTATCCTTATGATTCCTGTTGATGTTGCCACTGCTATCACGGCTGTTGTTGTTGTTATTATTATTATTACCAACATCCATTGGATGAAAACTACTACTAGATGTTGCATAATTCTCCATAAATGTACCTTCATAATTGTGAATATTATCATTACAGGAGACTTCATGAGTATTGAAAACACTGTCAATTCCAAAAAAACGTGAACTACTTCTTTGACTAGATGGATTGAAATTATCTTTCAGAAGAAACATTAAAAGAAAATAAATTAAAGAGTAATTCTTTCATCACATTATATATATATATATATATATATTAATACATATGACAGAATCTTGATTTGTTATGCCTGAAAAAGGTAAACACTACTACACTCTGTCTACATCATCTTGATTGTTGACAATTAATTATACATCTTATTGGTTAAGAAAAATTTAAACACTTACATAACCTTGAATTCTGTATGAACAATGATGTAAAATAAACACTAGAATGAATCACTAATCCATTGACTATTGAACGCTTATGTTTACTCACAAACATACGCATATAGACATGTTGTTATAGCATCACTGTTATATAATAGTAATAATAATAATAACAATAACAATATTAGTATTGTCAGTAGTAATACGTAAGCTAATTCTTGCTTTTAGATATGATAGAGAAGATTTCTAGCTCAGGTGGATGATTTTGATGTGGTTGTGTTCTCTGAGCTGGATGGTTTATTTGAGAAGCTTTCATTGCCCCCTACTAGGCAACATCTTCAGCGGTACTTCAATTTGAAGTGAGCTTTTAAATTTCTCCATGAGTTTATTAGCCATCATTCCTGGTGAACTTGAAAGTGATTGGTTGTTTCTGTGTGTTTTCACACTCTCTAGGCTACTTGTATTGGAACTGGTTGTTTCTTTGATAAAACCAGCATCACCTACAAAATAAATTGTAACAACTGCGAAAAACACTACATTGGCCAAAGTGGATGTCCCCTTCGTCTTCATATCCACGATCATAAGCTGGCCGTCAAAAGACATGATATCCAGTCCCTCATATCACTACACACAGACAACCACGGACACCAATTCGACTGGGACAACGTTCAAATATTAGACAGAGGAAACAACAAAAATACTAGAGAATTTTTAGAAGCTTGGCATTCCAGTGAATCATCAGTCAACAGACACATCGAGATAGACAAAATTTATCAACTGACAAGAAAGAAACTCACACACAAAGGGTCAAAGTTCAAGTCAAAGAAACAATCAGTTCCAATACAAGTAATCTAGAAAGTGTGAAAACACACAAAAACAACCAGTCACGTCCAAGATCACCAGGAGAGATGATTAATAAACTCGTGGGAAATATAAAAGCTCACTTCAACGAATTGAAGTATGCGCTGAAGATGTCACCCAGTAGGGCGATGAAAGCTTCGCAAATTAACCATCCAGCTCAGAGAACACAACCATATCAAAATTCTTGCTTTTCCCTGTAACACGGGAAGAAAACTGGGAAAAATCATATTACAGCTTAAATATTACTCAATAACTAGCGTGTCATTGATAATATTTGCTAACTCATAGAAACTGTATATGTAACATTCTCTCAATTGAAAGATTATTATTATTATTGTATTATTGTTCCCTTGGGTTCCGAGGGGAACATACGGCTTCAACAATACATCTGCACTTTGTTGCATTTTCTGCTGTCCTGTTTGGCTGGTGATACGATCGCCCACAATCTCAACTCTCCTCCTCGCTACACGATCTCCACATTGTCAACCTCGATCTGATGCCCATCCAACTCGTTGTTTCCCATTCGGGTTCCATTTGAGCAATGGCCTGCATTACTCACGATATCATCCAACAGTCTCCTCAGCGTGTGCCCAATCCATCTACATTTTCTTCTACATACTTGTTGAACGATCAGCTCTTCTTCGTTGGTTTATTCTCAGCCACAGTTTCTTGTTGCTAATTCATTCTTGCGCAAATTGATCTTCAATAAAGAGGGAACGCTGCTGTTGATAAAAGTCTTCAATGGCCTGTTGGAAATGCTTTTTGTGACACAAGGTGTAAGTTGAGAAGTAAAGTTTGACTTCACATTTGTGTTGAAAATCCGAATCTTGTTGTTTATATGCTGAAATGGAGTGCAGAAGATTTTCAAACTGACTTCATATTGATGAATGTGTACCTTGTCTTTCCAATCCTCAATGGCTTTGACATCTTTATTCATTCCGACTGCCTCTGGTTGAAACAATACTGCATATCTAGATAAGTGGAGGGAGTAACCTCTGTCAAATCTCTCACTTTGGTATCTATCGGAGCTGGTTGTTGTATATGTCGCTGTTGGTTGGTTATCTTCATCACCTCCGTTTTTTCTATGTTTACTTGAAGTTCTGTCTTCGTTGCCAGCCAGGAAGCCTCTTCTGTCAGTTTGTTGGTTTTTGCCTGCAAGTCTTCGAGTCTGTGTGAGTGACATTAAACATAAATCATCCACTCGCGAAATCCACATCTTCTAGAGTCTTCTTATCTGTCAGTGCAACGTATTCCTGTCTTCCCGCTCCTCACGTACAGTCTGATGCATGATCATGTCCACCACAATCAGGAATATCCTTGGTGATAATAGGCAGTCGGTTTTGTTTTACCCCTGTATTCACTTCAGACACCTCTCTGAGTTTCCCAACAAAGACTGATTAACTGTTACCAGTGTAGAGGGAAAGAAAAGTGACCAGCGATACCATCATCTAACAACAAATGTCCTGAATAACTAAAATGACAAGGTTACTCCAGATCAGAATTAAACTAATAAAGGAATTTATGTAAAAAAAAAAACAGGTTTTCAAAGTTTTTCTCATGTAAAAATATGATTTCACCCCTGTCTTATCGATCGTCTACAACAATAACACCCATTTTGTTAGATGTTTGCAGGCAACTGACAGAAAGTCTTCGACGTAGATCTCGTGCTTGTTAGCAGTCGTCACAGTAAGGCCTATATATCTGCAATCCTGACTGACAGAATTCAGTCTCTACCAACATCTAGGAATAGACAAATGACACATTAGTTACTGCCTGACATCCAATCAAACTATTCATTACAATCCTACAAGAGGTCAGTCGCGAGCCCGACCACAGCACTGGGTGACCGAGGTTCGAATCTTCGAAGGGATATGAGTTCCTCCAGAGTTGCAGATGATTGGTGAAATGTCAAAAAGCATGTGAAACTTAGGTCAGACAGGGCTTCCTGCTGATCGCCTCCTCCAACCATATAACAACAATTCACAATGCACCATAATGGCATCCCAACCAGCACATGATGGCTACATTGCAAAGTTCCCTGATCGAATTCAGTCTACATCAACACCAAAGAGTAGACCACACATGATATTACTTACTGCTTATTGTCGAATCCAGGTACACACCTCTGTATGGTCTGTCTGTCTGTCTGTTTTTGACACAGAACTTTGCACCGATGTGCACCAGTTCAAGTCGCCACACTCCCTCCTTGTAGCACACAAAGTAAGAAAAGAAAGTAGAAGAAATGCATAATAGAGACAGTAAACAGAGAGATGAGACAAAGGAATAGTAATAATGAAGAACAATATAGTTTCATTGGGAATCATAAGTCACAAGGAGTGGATGCATCTCCACCAGCCATTGAGGACGATCACTTTGAGCCATTTCACCAATTGTTTCCAGCCTTCATTGGTTTTTACCGTCCTGAGGACCTCAACCAGTCAGGAAGTCTACAGCTTCCTACGTGGCTGGCTTAAACTAACTGTTGTGGATTTCATCGACTGGTGAGGCCATGTTTCGGTTTGACCGTCGCTGGCTCTTTTCCAGCCTGACTCTACTATGTCAGCTAACATTTCTCTGTACGGTAGGGTTAAACAGAAGGAAAACTAAGACAAATAAAAAGTTATGAAAAATAACACTGAAATAGACCAACAGAAAATAAGGGAGACATCAATTATCAAGCCAGAGATTAACAATGACTGTCTATTTCTCTATCAAATGCATCCTTCAATTGAAAAAAAACACATTAAGACGACAACTGATGTAACTACACTAGATAGGCTTCAAGTCACACTCACACACACAAACATACATCCACACAGAGCTTTAATATATATATTGTGATTACTGCCATTGTTTTGTTCTATTCTCGTTTTAGGCCTTTCTTACCTTTTTTTAGTCTAAATTATTTATCTTTTTTCTGGTTAATTTCACTGTGTAAAACTAGACAAAGTGTAGTTGTTTGACTACTTTTAGTGTAAGTAGTAGTATGTACAGAGTCCATATAGACACGCGTACACCATACCATATACTACATACACAACATCAGATAGCGTTCGTTACACGTTAAAGACATCAGGTGAGACAATGAAATGTCTGACATTACTACTATTACTATTATTTCATTTTTAAGTAATACATCATATATTTTATTAAAGTAATAAATAAATAAATAAAAATGAAACAGTAATAATACACATTGTACGCAAAATGTGTCAATGAATTAATGACTTCATTATTTCTGTAATTCTTGAAAAAATGTTTGTGAGAGACAGCAGTATGATAACAATGATAGTAATGAGGTGGGGAAGAGAGAGTAATTAAAGACACAAAATGCTGACACAACACAAGTGTTTATATAATTTCGCCTAGAAGTGAGATAAACATCTGCGCATTGGAACACACACACATACACACATGTTGATCATGACGATAGTGGTGATGATAATGATGAGTACAATATGATATGCACGAAGGAAAGTACACGAAAAACACAGTTACAGGACTGACTGACTTCGTATGGATATATTTGAAAGGAAATAATACACTGAGAATTATAGTCTTGTTATATTACCAACCCCCCCCCCGTGCACACCTGAAACGGGTATATCGAGTAGGCGCGAAAGAAACGACATGATTCAGTACTTGTAGTTCTCCCGCCCCCAAAAACAATGACCTACCAGCATTACTAGTAGAGGTTTCGTTCAAAACTATTGCGGGGCGGAGAGAGAGCAAACTATATGTGACGTAAGCACGTTGCTTATTTGTAACCATCTTTTTTTTACTTTGCTGCTGGCATACCCTACGGAATTCACCCTATCTAATAAATGATTGATGTGTCAGGAATACATCAAAAAAGTATCCATCTGCCTAAATACCCATTTACTTATTCTGCATCCCCCTTCGCACGTACTATTACCCACCATCTTCCTGTCTCTCTCTCTCGCGGACG